GAACTTTACAGTTCAACAGATCATGCAGTCAAGTTCATTCAAAGTTTTCTATCTAAGGAAAACCAGCTGATTGCATCGACTCATTGACTGGGATGCAATCCTTCACACTAAGCATGCATGTAGCGACAGTGGAGAGGAAAAACTCCCTTTACAGGAAGAAACCTCCAGCAGAACCAGGCTCAGTGTGAGCGGCCATCTGCTGAGGCCAACTGGGGTTCAAGCAGACAGAAGCAGACATAGAAAAAGAAGCATAGATACAAAAGGCAACTCCAGGAAACACACAGCCAGGCAGACAAGCTCCGAGCCAGCTCCCATGTCAGAGGATGAAGAGAGCACATCCAGTTAGTCGCAGTCAGAGAAACAGGACTACACTGAAAAACAGGCCAAGTTCCAACATCTAGAAACAAAGGTGTTGATGGCAGCAGCACAACAGATATTTCTCTCCAGGATGGAGTCACAGCCAAACAGGAACAGACCAGATGAAGCTACTATGAGAAAAAGCAGAGAGAGCAGAACGTTAGAGATTGAACTAACAGATTCTGCAGAGTGGGAGAATAGAGATAGAATGAAGCAGAATGAAGCCTTGGATTTACTTTTTTTTTTTTTTTTTACAATTGAGGTTTTATCAATGGTCTTATTTTCTTGTTGCTCTGCTTTTATGTTTGGTAATTATATATTTTGAAATTTTCCCTGTATCCTGCTGCTTACTGCTTTGGTTGGATGGTTCAGAGCTCTTAGAAATCAACTAATGAATGAAGAATGGCAGAAAAGCCTTCTCACTTAATCCTCCTGATGGGAGAAGCATGATCAACTCTCCCAGATCCTTTTGCATCAGGCCAAGGTTTACTGACCTCCACGCGTCTGTTTGTGGGATGCATTGAATGGTTTCTGCCAGCAGAGGGTGGTATAGATCAGTGCAGGGGAATAAAATGGAATCAAAGGAAGTTTTGATTTCCCGCAACAGGGAGCAGCAGTGCACTTTTACTGTTTCTGCTGTGGTCTTAAACTCATGGAACATTTAGAACATGATTCATGAAGAACACAAAGTAAAGACAGATTCACAGTTGCTGGATCTGAAAATCCACTTTAAAGTTAAACAGATGAACAACATCTCTAACTAGAAAAACAGAAAAGAAAACATATTGAATGGAAACCTTCAGCTGAGGAGGAACACCCCTCTCCTTTGGCCTTTTCTCTCCTCCCTGGGACTGAGTTACGTTTGGAGGAACAAAGATCATCTGCTGTCCATCTGGACACCAAAAACCCCTCATGTTCCTCAGCTTCTTAAGTTCCCCGTGGACAATCCATTCCCTCTGCAGCGTAACATCCCCCACCCTTCAGTGATCTCCAGCCCAAGGTTTCAAAGTTCTGCTCTCAGAGCCCCAGAAATATGGCTGCCTATGAAAGTTGAGGATGGTCAGCGGTGGGTGTTGTCGCAAAATTTAGATTTCTCTTTTATTATATATTAATTTATCCTATTTACTCACTATAAAAGTTTTCAATCAGTCTGTTTCTGTCTCAAGGCCACACAATTCTCTGCAGGATGGTGTTTGTAGACCAGACATAGCTTCTTCCCATAACAAATCAGATTCTTTCTCAAGGTTTATTCATAACATGTTACTGTTAACCAAAGTGTCTGTAATTTGTTTTGACTCTGACTGCTTTCCATTGTTGTAAGTAGAGGGAACGAACGCTGCTTATGCAGAACAGGGCTGAATGCTGTTCCATAAGGGCTGTATGATGAACTGTTTTACTGAAACATTAAAACACCAGTTGGTATCCACTTTAAAGATTCCTCAGTGCTTTAAATAAAACGGCTGAGCTAAAGTGATAGAAACCAAAGGATGTGTTTTTTTTATACCAGGAATCTGTCATTAGCCTGTTTCCCACTGAAAATAGCGCGTTAACGCAGGTTTTTCCAACGTGGGTCAATCGGCATTTTCCGCATTCCCACTGGCAAACAAAAGCTGGTCTAACTCTCTGATCTCTATTTATTCACTGGATTGCTGATTATCCGTCCGAAGTAAGGTGTTGAAGTATAGCCACTGGCTGCCATATTGGGACTCCCTAGTTAGAGCGGTCTCACTGTAAACAATCTGTGCGCTACATCATTGAACAATGATGATGTTGTCATTTTCAGGAGACGTAAGACTTTTAAAATAAAGATAAATTGATCACTTTGACACATGCTGGCTGTTTCATAGCATCAGTAGATGACTTTAATTACTCATGCCTTTCACCTGCTTTACTCTTTCCAGCTCCTAATCATCACTCATCTCATCCACCTGCCAGTTGTCCTTATATTGGGCACAGTTTCAGCTATCATGGCTAGATCATTAGATGGTGTTTTTCTGTTCAGTCTATTCAGTTCTGTTTATTCTAAGGTTCATGTCCTGGATCCTGGCGGCCAGAGGAAAGAGGCTTTTGTGTCTGTCTCGTCTCCTGCTCGTCCACTGTTCCTCCCCTGCTGAGTCCTCAGCGTTTTTGGCTCTTTACGCGGGGAGGTTCAGTTTTTATATCGGTAAGCCTGGCTCCAAGGTGGAGACCAGTTTAAAGGTCCTGCTCAAGTTCTGGTTCCACGTCCTGTCTCGGCTACCCTCTTCCACTGAGTCTGCCTGTCTGCACCCGATCCTGTCTTCTCCTGTGTGTGGCCACCTGGTCACACTTCTGGACTGAACCTGCCTGGGAGCTCTAGGATGCCTGGAAGCCTGGATCCTGCCTGTTCTGTCTGTTCCTGCCTGCTCTGCATCCCTGTCCAGGATCGCCACTCTGTCACTCGGGGTGACGTGCGGTGCGTCAGCTGTCAGCCCATCTGCTGGATCGCACCCCCTTCGAGGGTGATGGACTGAACTGTTAAACCAGGTAAGTGACTCACTGAGATTATCATCTTCTGTCAGATGATCGTGGTCACTTACCTGTGTTTCTCCCACAGAGTGTCAGAGATTGGGCGGTGGCCCACCCCCCCTCCTGCAGCATCCATGAGCCGCAGATCCTAGCAGCTCCACATTAGTTTTGTTTGTTTTTATTTAATAAACACTTTAAACTTTCCTACTGACTGTCTCACCTTGAATACTGGGTACATGTGTCCCATTTCATGACAGTGTTAATGAAGCAGAATAGTACAGAAGTTCCAGAATTAGTAAATTGATGATGTAAATGTAATATGCATGTATTTATCACCATTTTTAATTACATCTGATCATTTGAAAAAACTATACATACAAACACACACATACACACAAAAAACCATGCATACACTATCCAGTGATTGATTTATTGAAATATATATATACACATATATATATATATATATATATATATATATATATATATATATATATATATATATATATATATATATATATATATATATATATATATATATATATATATATATATATATATATATATATATATATATATATATATATATATATATATATATATAAGGGTCAAATGTTGAGTGCTTTTTTGCCTCAATCTTACATGCAATATATTTCAGCTCATGACTTTTTCAAATGAGAAATATAACAAACATCAATGTATCAACAGCTTCATCCACTTAAAGAATTACTACATGACATTTCACAGTGAATTACTTTCTATTTCCTCTACCTTCTACTATCTAACGTTAGACCCAATGTCAGTGGCTAACTCAGTCAATGTCTTCCAGTCAGTCTGAGATAACCAGACTAATGTCAGTCTACAGACTATACATCAGCTATAGATGGATTTATTGCTTAGTTCATCCACTGACTGGGAAATTACCTGTGGAACATCTTCCTGCAGCTAGAAAACTGCTGGTTTTTGCTGCCAAATGCTGCACAGGGAGGCATTTTTACTGCGCATCTCTGTGGGAGTGGACAGTGCCTGCATGGCGGACAGTGGCTTCAATTTTTTCGGGCAATCCAGTGAATAAATACGGATCAGCAGTCTAACCCCTCCCTGGCAGCTGTATGGCCTCTGTCTTCCACCACTGCATGTCTGGCTAAAGAGCAAGACAACAGAGGAAAGAAACAACTGTCACAGAACCCGGTGTTTGTTTTCATCTCCTTTCTTTTTGTTTGTTTTTTAACAGTCTGGCGATGTGGCAACAAGAATAATTGTCTTGATGCCAAAAAGAGCCCAACAGATTTTACTTTCACAAGTGGAGCAGTACAGCTATCGCCATAATGTTCCACTTGATTTATGCATATAAATAGCTTTATTATGATTCATGCAGGGAGTTTTACAGATTATATGGACACTGCAATGTAGGTATACAGGAACGGAAAAAAAGGAAAAAAGGAGAAAAGATGAAAGAAAGAGGAGATAAAAGGGAGATAAATCATCTTTAGTCTGCTTCATCACCTGCAAGGAGACGTAAAAAAAAGGACAGCATAACCAACGCATAATAAGCACCTTGATACTATCACTGAAGTATAGGTAGTATTATTTAATTTGACATGTTTAGTGTGGTAGCTGAAGATAAGAATATGGGCTGTCTGTGTGAAAGTGAATCTCTAAGTACCTGGAACCAAGCACCTGTAGTTGTTTGTGAGAGGGCACCTGTGCATGTAAAGTTTATCCAAAGGAAAAATGCTCAATAGTGGTTGTGAAGAACCAAAGACCCACCCCCACTCAGAGCAGCAAGGCGAGCACCGAGGGACAACTAAGTTCTCTGGGCCAACTCCCAGGGTTTGACCACCACAGTTCAATGATAAACTGGATGTGTTCAGAGGAAGTAAAAACCTGCTGTACTTTCACGGAGAAATGGATCAGAACATCTCCAGATAGGTGAATGGCAGCAGAGAGCGGTTCAGCCCAGAAACTAAGAGGATAGAGGTTCAGAGTTCCTATGACGGCTTGTCAGGAACTCCAGGCTTCACCCATCAGCACCTGGCAGGCAGCAAAAACAATACGAAGCAGAACTGATGTGCCGTCTGAGCCTTTTTGGGCGTTGTGCTCTCTCTCTCTCTGATAGGTGTGGCCTGGGAGGAGCTGGCTGCACACAGCTGAGACTGATCTTCATGTGGAGCAGTATTTAAAGTCTGGCTTCCTGTGTTCTCACTTTCTGATGGTCACCATTAGTTGGTAGATGTGACAACTTCTCTCCCTTGTAGAAATTATTTCTTCAGCTTTTGAAATTGAAAATATTAATCTTACCTGTGCTCTGTCTACCCAGAATCCAGCTCCAAATCAGTGTCCATCTACCAAGCTACACCACCCACCTCCCTCTTCTCCAGCTGCTGCAGAGAGCTTGCCTCCCACATCAAACTGCCCCTGCTTCCAGAGACGCCTTCCTTCCTTGTCTGCCTGTTAACCCAAAAATAAACTTTGCTCCTTTGTCCTAGCCTGGCCGGCTGTATTCTGGGTGCAGCACCCAGCTCTTCACAGCTGAGCAGGGAAGGCTGGTAGGATAACAGGACTCTTTAGAAGAAGACTTGATGTGTTTCTGCCAGTGCAGCTTTAACTGAGATCACATGCTTTAATAAACACTATTGGCATTCATCTATCCATGGATAGGGTGGCTTCCTTTCTCCAGCCGGCACAGGATGAGGCTGCGGACGGATCACCAGTCTACCATCGGACTGCCTGCATTCAACTGTGAACTTCTGATGGAAAGAAGTAATGAAGCTTTCATCTCCTCCTGGAAACAGCTTCTGAAAGTGAGTGAAAGTGTGCTTCCAGAGAGAAATGAGAAGGAAGTGGTGCTGCACCTGTAGAGATCATGTTGAATAATGTCGCCTACATGCAGAAAATGGGGGGACTAAAATAACATGCAGTGCTGTCTCTGAGTGCTACTAGATTTCTGCCACTTGTCAGAACAGCTTTTTTGTTTTGTTTTCAAGTGTTAAAGAACAGTTGTGCAGCCGGACTAATGTACAGTAAATGTGATAGGTAGGTTGAATTGTTGAGTTATGCAAGGCTTTCAGCTCTGTATAATGGTGCGCTACTCAGGAATGTTGTGTAACAGAGTTGTCCTCCCCGCTTTTCAGTGTGGGCCCGCGAATACTCTCACTGTTGCTGGTCCATTTGCATCCATGCACTTTAACCTCGCCTGACAGTACTGCTGTGATTAATTCACCTCTTCATACAGTGTAAGAGGCTTTTTTTCTTTTTTTGGTCATATTAAGTGTGCCATTTTTCAGCAATCCTGGTTTGAATCTTTGCTAACAGGGAACTGAGTGTTTCTCTCTTATTGTCCAATAAAAAGAATCAGACCCTTACTTTCTGCATATTACTATTCTGGAAAAAGAAATAAAATCAAGCAATGAAAATTATATGCATGTTCGTATCATAGGTATTGTGGCCAAGGAGTGTAAACACTCTTTAACAACACAAACTAGCTGCAAATAAGCAAATGAGACAAAAATGCAAACACCATAAAGAAAAAGAGAAAGGCTGAAATCACAGAAAATAAAGAGAAAGGACAAAGAACAAAGAACAAACACAAAGCAAACCCATGAATAATGGGAACATGCTAAAAAAACACACAAGAGAAATGCTGCAAGAAGCAAAAGTAAAAAAAAAAAAAAAGCTGCAAGCTACCTCTTAAAGGTAGAAGTGCTCCAGAACACTAGGGGGAGATGGATATATTTTGATATTCTTTACCATTCATTACTATCAGGAAGTCCACAAACTGTAGTTAAAAGCCTTCAGCTGATCCAAAATGCTACAACCAGAGTTCTGATGAAAATGAAAAAGAGAGATCATATCTCTCCTATCCTGGCTTCTTTTCATTGGCTTCCTGTTAAATCCAGAATAGAACTTAAAATCCTCCTTCTCACATATAAAGCCTTAAATGGCCAAGCTCCATCTGATATCAGAGATCTGATTGTTCCTTATGTTCCTAACAGAGCACTTCACTCTCAATCTGCAGGTTTACTAGTGGATCCTAGAATTTCTAAAAGCGTATTTCCAGGCTTGTCAGGAAACTACCGGTAGAAGTCATCCAACAACTGCTGACTGATAATGAGCCGACGGGAAATCCAAGATCACTCCTCCGACCGTACCCCTCCCAGTCCACGAGATACTGGAAACCATGCAATTTCAATCTAACAGCAGATGGATTGATTACTTTTTCACCTCAAACGGGCCAATGTAATGGGGGCGAGCTTCCATGACTCCACCTGTAGGGGGAGGTCCCGTGTAGACAACCACACCTATTTGACCAGGTTGGTACATGGGGGAGCTGACTAGGGAGTTGTGGGCATATTCAATCCAGGGCAGCTGAACGCTCCATGAGGAGGGATGCCTGGCTGAGACACACTGGAGGGCTGCCCCTAAATCCTGATTAGCCCGCTCTGTCTGGCCGTTGGATTGTGTGTGGTACCCAGACAACAAACTTGTGGCCACACTTGAGAGGAAAACTGGGAGCCTCGCTCAGAAACTATATCCACAGGAATCCAATGAATCCTAAAAACATGTGAAACCAGGAAGTCTGCTGTCTCAAGGGCAGTGGGTAACTTGGGGAGAGGGACAAAATGAACAGAGTTTGAGAAACGGTCAACAATTGTGAGGATGACAGTGTAACCTCTAGAAGGTGGTAGACCAGTGATGAAATCCACAGCTATGTGTGACCATGGGTGGCCGGGTACAGGGAGAGGCTGTAGAAAACCAGCAGGTGGAGCGTGAGAAGCCTTACTACGGGCGCAGACGGTACAGGCCACCACAAACTCTCTTGTGTCCCGAGTCATGCCAGGCCACCAGAAACTCTGCTGGAGGAAAAGAAGGGTACGTCGAAAACCAGGATGGCAGGTGAGTGTGAAGGTATGTCCCCACTGTGAACCGTTTCAGGGACAAACAGGCGATTAGCTGGGCCTCTACCAGGATCAGGCGAGGTTTGTTGAGTTGCCGGAACTATGGACTCGATCTCCCATGGTGCTGGTCCCACAAAACAGGAGGGCGGCAGAATTGGCACAGGCTCAGAAGAAGCTGAATCTTGGGAAAACTGACGTGAGAGAACATCAGCCTTGGTGTTGCGGGAGCCTGGGCGGTATGAGAGTGTGAAGTTGAAGCAACTAAGGAACATGGACCAGTGAGCCTGCCGTGAATTTAGATGTTTTGCAGAATGAAGATAAGCCAGATTTGTATGATCTGTCCAGATGAAGAATGGGTGTTTGGATCCTTCCAACCAGTGTCTCCACTCCTATAAGACTAGCACTATAGCCAACAGCTCACGATTCCCAACCTCATAGTTCTGTTCTGCTGCAGATAGTCGCTTGGAGAAGAAGGCACAGGGGTGAAGCTTGTGAGTCTCTGGATGGCACTGAGATAGGACGGCACCCACTCCCGACTCAGACGCATCCACCTATAGCACAAACTGTCTAGAAGAGCCAGGGTGGAGGAGCACAGGACCAGAGGTAAACAGGTACTTCAGTCTCTGAAAGGCATGCTCGGCCTCAGCTGGCCATGAGAATGGAATTTTAGGGGAGGTGAGTTTGGTAAGAGGGGTAGCTTCTTTGCTATAGTCCCGAATGAACCTGTGATAGAAGTTGGCAAACCCAAGGAAGCACTGCAGTTGTTTGCGTGAGGTGGGGGCAGGCCAATCTGCCACAGCTCTTATCTTGTCTGGGTCTGGCTGAAATTGACCCTTGGGAACAATGTAACCTAGGAAACTGACTGATGGCTGCTGGAATACACATTTCTCTGGCTTAACAAATAACTTGTTCTCTAGGAGGTGCTGCAGTACAAGGTAGTTTCCTGATAGTAAAGAATTACAATAGTCAAGCCGTGAAATAACAAGTGCATGGACTACTGTAGTTTATCAGCATCAACCCTGAACAGGACCCTTAACCCCCACACTACTCCCCGGGCGCCACACAAAGGCAGCCCACAGCTCTCCAAGGGGATGGGTTAAATGCAGAGAGTGCATTTCGTTGGTTTGTACTTATGACTGGCTATTAACAATGAAATTGAATTCTATTCTGATTTTACCCTTCTATGATGATTTTACCTGTAGCAATTTGAATTTTATTTAAAATGTAAAGTGTATTACACATAAAATGTATTATTATTACTATTAATATTCTATTTCAAATTTTTTGCAGTATTTCGCAGATAAAAGAAGGAAATTCTAGAAACCTCTGTCATATGGGTTTTAAATGACAGGTCCTGATCAAAAATCACACCAAGAGTTTTCACTTTATTATCTGAGATAAATTTAATCCCATCCAAATGAAGTGACTGACTAGTCAGCTTCATAAAGCAAGACCACATCTGTTCTGTTCACACAGACCCAGACTTTATTTAGAAGAACATGGTGCTCAGTGAGCCAAGATGCAGTTTTGTTCATTTGTCGGTGCGTCAAGGAATGCTGATTAGCACCTGATGGATAGAAAAGATTAGGAGTCCTCCAAACATATGGCTCTTTATTTAAATGAAAACAAACATGGTAACAATAATTCCAAAGAAATATCTATGAACAAGTATCAGCTTTGCTCTCATTTTTTTAAAGAGAAGAATGGCCCTTTGAATTTTAAATACAGAATACAAAAGTGTGTGATGCAGCAAAACAACACAGTGTTCATGTTTTTTATTCAGCTTCCAGTGATGAAATCTTACATTTACTGACTTCCTTTAGACAACAAACGACTATTCACAGAAGATCCATTTGTAAAAAGATTGCTCCACGGTTGGCTTTGTTTACAGTCTTTGTGGGGCCGATAATCAGCTGCAGGTCCCCGTTTGGATTTTCAGTGTTTGACCCGTTCACAGTACGTTCATCTGGCTTTTCATTTGGATCATCTGCTCAATCACCCCACCGCCCAACGTAACCCATACTAGACCAACAGAGAGCTGGTGGAAGCCTCAGCCACCCGGCTGGCCTTTAGTTTCAATGATTTGCTGTCTCACAGCGATGGCCACACTTTACTTGAGAAGACCCTGTTGAGCCCCTGAATACTGCATATCCCTCCGACCATGTGAAGGGGCTTAACACCCACCAAGGAAGGGAGGGAAGTCTTTGGTTGATTTTGGCAGGATAGAGCACAGACCTCGCAGATCTATCAGCGAACAGCAAAAATGGTCACAACACTACAACCTTTAAACAATGACGCCCTCTTAAACACAGCTCTGATGAAGGAAACGACACATAGAGGTGAGACCTGAAAGACACAGGGGTCTGGCACAATGATTGTACTCAGGGTTTTAGGAGGAAACACTCACAGGAATGTAATTTTTAAAGGAACTTCTAACTGAATCCGTTCTCTTCTCCTGATTTCTCCAAACAGACGGTTCATATTTTGTTAATTTAAAAAGTGCTAATGGGGGAGCCTTCCCTCCATCCCCTCGCCATAAAATGAGGAGAAACATTCCCAGTTTGCTGCCAGTTTACTCGTGCGGGGAGGCTGTTCCTGAGCCAACACACAGGTTCTTGTGCAGGTTGGGGTTCTGACTGTGTCTGTTCCTGCTGCGCACAGAAGAGAAGGACGTCTCACAGCCAGGGACCTTACACTTGTGCAAAAGTCGTAGATGGACGGTCTTGTAATGAGCTCTGAACGTCCCTTTGTTGCTGTACACCTTTCGGCAGATGTGGCATGTTATGGGAGAGCCCGCCCCCTGGAGGCGGTTCTGTGCGCTCCTGCTACAGCCTTGGTTCCTGTGTCCGCCGGGGGCCAGCTCCTCGGTCTCTGGCCTCCCAGAACCCGTCCCATCGCAGCTTTCATCGCTTTCCTCTGTGGGGAGGACCTCCTCATCTTCTTCACCCGCCTCCCGTTCATCACTCTCAGCTCCGTCTGAGTCCCAGGACGACTGAGGTAGAGCGGAGGTGCTCAGGTCGAGGACTGCCCCTTCATTCCCATCTCCACCTCCGTAGTCTCCCCCTAACCCCTCCATCTCTGCTGTGGATAAAGTCTCCGTGCTGCTGAGGGCAGCAGGTGCCTTGCTCATAGGAAACACCAGCCCCATGCGGCTGTGTCCTCGGAAGATGACGGAGGTCTGACTAATTGGGTCTTGGTGCAGCAGGTCCTTGTCCTGCTGGTTGTGGCACGGCTCCAGGCCCTCAGGGTCTCTGCAGTGGGATGATGGCGAGCAGGGGGGGGTGGCTGGTCTCAGTGAGTCT